CGGAGCGGACGGCAGCAGCGGGGGCCAGCAGACGTCTGGGAAAGGAGGAGGTGGCAAGGGCAGAGGGCACAAGCAAGTGAGAGCAGACAACGTCGCCGCAGCCCCAGAACTCCAGCAAGCCTTGGTCACTGTCCAGAAGCTAACCCTCCGCGTCGCAGCAGAGCAGAGAGACATGGCCAACATATGCACCGAGTTCTGGATCCCCCCGCGCACAGCCGCAATTATTCGAGAAGGTTTCGAGGCTGGACAGGGGTACCACCAGGCTGTAAAGGAAGCGGGGAAAGGACACAAGCTGGGCCCCCCCCACGTGCACATAGCGGCGGGGGTGACCGGGGCGATGCACGATGCGTTCGGGGACGACGGGACAGAGGGAGAAGCCACGAAAGTACTCGCGTCTTGGATGGAAGCAGCAGGGCCAGAGGAGTACGGGAAAGCATGCGTGGACGAGTTTTTTCAGGATGTTCCGATTGAGGGAATGCTACAGCCCAGACGGAGCGCCAGAGCAGGAGCGCAAGGCAAAACTTCAGTACTCACTCAACATGAGCCCCGACCTCAGGACGGTGATCCACCTGTCCACGGGACCCCCAGCTCAAGTGCCCACGGTCGACATGAGATCCTTCCAGAGCGCCTTCACATTGGGGTTGATCAAAGCGGGGGGAGCCAAACCGACGGGAGCAGGGCCCAGGACGGAGTTGGAGAGGACGGTGGAGCGCCAGCTGAGGAATTTCCAGAGAGTGTGATGCAGCATGCACGTGCACTTGCCCGCGACCCTGGGAAGCTTGCGAATCTCTACAAGATGCGGGACAACGGGGTGCAGAGAGTCGGGCAGCTAGTCAGAGCAGTTGAATTCGTTAGGCGTCAGATGTCTCAACAGTTGCAATATACGTATTTAAGTGGGCAGTCTTTTTTACACTGAAGGCGCACAGTATCATAGTAAGGGAGAGAGGAGAGATGTCGGTGAGTGTAGCCGTCTCGATCGAGCTGTTGCAGGGGGACAGCATTGAGCAGCTGACTGTACTTGCCTGCACGGACGTGAGCCATGGCAACAGCACCAGCATCTGCGACGGGAGCGACCGCAGCGAAGGCTGCGCCAGCTGTTGCTACGGGTGCGAACGCAGTGCCAGTACCTCGCCAGCCAACAGGCCCCCCTCCTGGTCCTCCTGGCCCGATCCGCTCAAAGGCAGCACCAGGTCGCAGGAACCAGAACCATAATGATGACCTGAGCCGTGTGCATGCTGCGCAGCAGGCCCACCTGTCGACGGGCCGCGTTCTGAGGGATCACTACTCTATCATTCTGGGGCAGTGCAGTATGTTGAACAGCCAGCTCAGCTACATCCAGCTCCAGAGAGACAATATCATGAGCCAAGTTGTGAATGACACGCACTTGGAGGCAGACCGTGTCGCCACCAGGCGCAACCTAGACAGTCAGATAAGCTACCTGACTGATGAGCTGGAGCGTCTGCATGGAATCATCAGGGTGCTTGATGAGTCAGACTACGGAGTGCAGAGATTCGACTGGGAGATCTCACGTCCGAGCGGGAGCAGCGAGAGGGATGAGGGGCAGTAGTGCCAGCTTGTCAGCGTGTCTGCATCCCCTCCCATCGTGAGCTGCTGCTGCCGCTCGCCCCCCTCCCCCCTCGCCCCGTCGCCCCGCCCGACCGTGACCGTCTACGGGCTGCTGCTGCATGCGCACAGCCAGCAGGGCAGCCCTGGACGCGGGGGGCGGGTAGAGTAGGATCGGTCGGCCACAGTCACAGACCATCTCTCTCTCTCTCTCTCTCTCTCTCTCTCTCTCTCTCTTCTCTCTCTCTCTCTCTCTCTCTCTCTCTCTCTCTCTTCTCTCTCTTTTTTTGTTCCCCTCCCAGGCCTCTAGGGGCCAGAGGTTCAGCAGCGCGGGGCGTGCGGCTCGCTCCACGAAGGAGTAACCGCCCCCCCCCCCCCCCCCCCCCCCCCCCCGAGTTTTGAGGTTTAAAATGCGTCGGGAGCCTCTGCCGAAGCGGCGGCGCCTGCAGTGTGAAGCCGCGGCGCTCGCCGTAGGCGGCAGGGGGGGGGCAGGCAAAGGTCCCACCCTTGAATGCTTCCATACAGTTCCTAGGGGCAGCTAGTGTCACAAGTGGCTTGACCTTTGCCCCCAACGGCTCCACCACCACCACCGCCTCTTCCTCCTCCCCCATCCCCCTCCTAGTCGGCGTTGGAGCTCAGACACTTTCAGCCCCGATGGAGGGAGGATTTGCATTGGCACTCCTCACTCACACGACTTGCGGGCGCTGACAGCCACGCAGGTTGCTCTGCCGGGGCCAGGGGGGGGGGGGAAAGGATAACCGCACACCTAACAATCTCTGCAACCCTTCCAGTACCGTAGCTCTTTGCGATCTTTCCCAGAGTGGCTGGGTCGTGAACCAGCGATGGATTCTTCTTGCGCCGCATCTTTCCAATGTTTGGAAGTTTGGATGGTGACCTGGAAAAGCGACGAGCCAAAGACGCAGAGAACGGACCCGCCGCACCCACGCGCGGAAATGCCAGCTTGCCAGGGTTGCAATGTGTGAACAGATGGTTGCCCAAGTCCAGGGAACGGACATCGAGGCGAACTGAAGGTGGAGAGAGAGAGAGAGAGAGAGAGAGAGAGAGAGAGAGAGAGAGAGAGAGAGAGAGAGAGGGCAAAAAAAAAAAAAAAAAAAAAAAAAAAAAAACATGGAACGCGAGAGGAAAAAGCATGCGACAGGGGGGGGGGGTAAAGATCTTGCCCAACTCCCCCTCCCCCCTGCGCCCTGTGGGGCCGGGAGGGAAGCGCTGCCAGGGGAGTTCGCAGATCCGCCTCGGCGCCTGCGCCCGCGCGGGCCCAGGAGCAGCCCGTCTCAACCACTAGCGGATCTTCCAGATTGGAAACGCTGTCTCCGGAAATCGAAGGTCAGTTCCGCCAGCGGGATCCGATTGGCCGCGCTTCGCGTCCGTTCGTTCGCCGCCGAGCGAAACTGGAGGCAAGGCTGGACAGCCGCGGCCACCTGCCCCCCCCTGAAGGGGGCCGCTGCGCCCGAGTCGCCTCGGGGGGCGCCGAGTCGAAGCATTGCAGCGCCAGAGGCGCAAAGAGAGCCTCGCGGCCGCGGCGCAGACGAAAGCAGGCGAGACAGAGGGAAGATGGATGCCCCGAGGTTCGGAGATCACTGGCTTCTGCTGATGGTGGGCTTCGAAAACTCATGGGCTCCCGCGGTGAGACGGACGAGAAGGAGGTTTGGAAATATGGAGGCGAACGCCATTATCTTGAAATGTTGCCCCAGGAGATCGGCTCGTTTGTTCGCCGGAGAGCGAAGGAGGTCTGGGGAGATCGAGGCCCCGAGTTTCAAAGGCCACCGACGGGTGCCGATGGCGAACTTCGAAAACCCATGCTCCTCAAGGATGACCCTGAGATCGCAGCGCTCCTGGGATTGTTCAGTTTTTCAGCGGCCCACGAAGGAATCACTAAGGGCGTTTTGCAAACGGTGTGCACGGAAGGGGGGATGCCCACTGGGGAATTTGATGAGGCGCTCGAATTGTTTGCTTCGCGGAGGGATTGCGCAGGCGCGGAGGAGGTGGAGAAGGGATGGGAAATTAATTGAGGCAAGGGCACCAGCAACATTTCCCAACCGGGACTCCCTCTGACCTCTTAGTGTAGAAGTAATTGTTGAAGGATTTGTTATCGAAGAGCGGACGCGGAAGCGCAGCGGCATCTATGTCGTTATGTGGAACAATCGTGGGTTGTTTTTTTCTGCGGACGATTCACGGCGCCAATTGGCTTCCATCGGCGCAGTTCGCACTTTTGCCAGAGGTGGAATTCGCTCTTTCGGAATGGGAAAGCATTAGAGTTCTTGCCCCGCGAAAATTACGCACTTTCAGACTGGGAGGCGCAGGGGTTCAACTGGGCGCGTCTAGCGCGGGGGAGAATACTGAATTAGCCCCGACGGGAGAGTCGCACGCACTAGCGAGGGCATCTCGGGACGCAGGCCTTCTCGCCCGGCGTTCCCCCTCTCGTTTCTTAGTCTCTCGTCCTCGGTCCGCTTCTCCGCGGGATGCAGCGAGGAATTTGGCTCGCAAATTAAAGAGCGGCTCAGGGAACCCTCCTTCTCGCGCAGGCCCGCTTGCGCGCGCCACTAGCAGCGCGTCGCCAGCGGTGCCGCGCCCCTAGGTTTCGTCGGGGAACTATTGACTGGTGACGCAGGGCCCCTCGCGAACGGGCCGCGCGCTAGCCTGCGGTGGAAGCGGGGGGGGGGGAGGGAAGGCCGCATGATCCGCCCCTGTGCAGGCCCGGGCAGTGGCTTCGATGCGATGTCGAAGGGCTGTCGGGCCCTTGCTGCGTACTATTCACGCGGGGGAACCTCTCTAGTCTCGCAGCAAAAGTCGGACGACCACCCCCTTTATGCGGATCGCCTCGCTTCGCCTCCTCCTCCTCCCCCTCCTCTTCCTCCTCCTCCTCCTCCTCCTCCCCCCTCATCCTCCTCACCGTCGTCGTCCATGGCTTCACCCGCCGCCGCCTTCTCCTCGTCCCTATAACTCTAGACCTCCTCCTCTTCCCTCATGCGTCGCCTGGCTCCTGGTCCCTGGCCACTTCGCGCTGCAAACACCATGCAAGGACCAATGTTTGATCTGACATCTGGATTGCGGATCGAACTTATTTGGCGGAGTGAGAGGACATGTGGTGGAGGGATCGGATCTCCGATGTTGCGCGTGCGCGTTCGACCTGTCCCCCTTTTCGCTCCTCCCTGTTCCTAGTTGCCGCCTCATGTCTGCCCCGCCTGCCCCTCTTCGGCGGCATTTCCCCTCCCTCCTCCTCGCGGGCGTCGGCCTCGGTCTCCAGAGGCCCCTGGCGCGGAGGTCCCTCGGGGGTCCCGCGGGTGCCCCCAGGGGGCCCCCCACGGGGCGCCGGCGCCGAGGGCCAGGGCCCAGCGAGGGCCGCCGCGACGATCAGCCTCGGATCATCGCCATCGCCGTGCGTTCGGCGCCGTCGCGTTGGCCCGCCGCCGCGCCAGTGGCCCTCTCGCTGATCTGGCTGTGGGGCAGGTGCGGCGCCGACCAGTGGCAGGCCGCCAGGGGCCCGTGCGGGTGGGAGGACGGTGAAGGTCAGAGGGTAGAGGGGTGGAGGAGGAGGGGGAGGGGCGAAGGAAAAAGGACAGGATAGGATTGCAAACCAGGTGCGCTCGCCCCCACCTGACATCTTACCACCCCGTCCCATCCCGTCTTATTTCGTTGGTTTTCCTCTATTCACAGACGCGTTTCATTTTGATATGAATATGCCTGTGGCAAGTCCCGCAACAGTGCGAGCAGACCATTACCGGTGGTCCTTGCGCGATGAAGACGGGAGGCTCTAGCGTGTGGCACCTCGAGTGGCGATATCTGCATTGATTGTGGCCGTCACACGTGACACCTCGTTGGATTTTGGGTTTCCTTGGCCTGTCCGAGGGTTCTCTGCGCCGACCGTTCGGGCAACGCCGACAGATGTCACATGTGGCATATCCTTTGTTTCTAGCCCATCTTCTATGTGATTCACTGATGGAGCGGAGTGGTACGATGAAGCGACGGAAGACTTGAAGACGGTGTTCGCGATGACGTTGATGATGATGGTGGCAGTGATGATGATTACGATGCTGGTGATCAATGATGGTGTTGCTGATGATGATGCTGATGATGATGATGATGATGGTCATGATGATGCTGACGATGATGGTGATGATGATGATGATGATGATGATGATGACAATGACGATGACGATGACGATGACGATGACGATGATGATGATGATGATGGTGATGGTGATGATGATGGTGATAATGATGCTGATGCTGATGCTGATGCTGATTATGCTGAAGCTGATGCTGATGCTGATGCTGCTGATGATGATGGTGATGATGATGTGATGATGATGATGATGATGATGATGATGATGATGATGATGATGATGATGATGATGATGATGATGATGATGATGATGATGATGATGGTGATGGTGATGATGATGATGATGATGATGATGATGATGATGATGATGATGAGTTTCGTGATTTCACGGGCTTCCGATGATCTCTGGAGGGCCGCCGCCGTTTGATGTCGCTCATGTCTTGAGTATGTGGGAGGGGCTCACAGACCACGTTTTTTCGAGAGTGGTTTCGTACCTCACCAGGTGCCCGCAGGTGCCATCTTGCCCTCCGTGTCCCACCGGCTCTCTGGCTTGCGGGGCGCCCGCTCCTTGCCCTGGGTGCTCGCTGCAGTGCCCCGCGATCCCGCCCTGTGCGGAGGTCGCCCCAGCGGTGTGCCCCGCGCCGCCGCCGTGTCCGACGCCCGCCTGCCCGGCGTGCGAGGCCCGCGCGGCGCCTTTCCCAGCGCCGGCGCCGCCGGCGTCAGAGGCGGCGCCCGCCAGGGGGGCCGCTGCGGTCGTTGAGGACGTCAGCGCTGACCTGCGCGCGCTGTCCGTGGGGCTGCTGGGCTGGGCGGTCGGTTTCCTGCTCGCGGCCGCCAGCCGGGGCTGGTTCAATGCAGCCGCTCGTTGCGACGGCCGTCCTCGGGTTTGCGCTCTTGCTGGTCACGGCGATGGCGGCAGTGACGACTCGGTGGGCATACGTCTTCTACGCAGGCGAGGTGGCGTGGCACCAGCACTTGAACTTGGGCCGGGTGGCTTTGTCCGAGGCTGAACACGTGATCTACACGGCCAACGGCGACTTGTACATCGTGGCCTTCGCCAACAACCCGGACGTGCAGGCCGCCCGCTTCGGGTCGTTCGACCCGCGGCCTCCAGGGATCGACGCGAACCAGGTCTACAGGTTCCGCGCGGAGCCCACCGACGCGGAGCTGACCCAGCTGAAGGAGAAGAAGGAGCAGACTGCGGTCGTGGAGTGTCGTGCACGCGCGACGGCGGTCGGCAACCTCGGGCTGCTCACCAACCTGCGAGCGCTGGTGGTGCCGGACGGTGGGGCCGCCGTGATGCCCGTGGCGCCAGTGGGCCTGGCGGTGGGGTTCCTGCGCGGCGCGGCACCTTTGCGGGCTGCCGGCGGCGGCGCCGATGTTGTCGGGGTGTGGCGTGCGGCTGCCTGCGAGGGCGGCTTCCGCATCGGTGATGAGGTGCCTGGCCATGTGCCCACCGCGTCTCGTGTCCAGGATCGCGATATACACGTGCTTCCCGACGGCCAGGGCCTCTCGTGGAGCTGGTGCTCGCGGCTGCGCTCGAGTCCTTCCTCAGTGGATGTGGACGGCGGGACCCTTCCCATCGCTCAGGACGCGCAGGGCCGCCGAGACGTCTCGCGGCGCAAGATGCTGGAGATGGCCCGCCAGGAGGACTTCGGCTCGGGCTGGGCGTTGTCTGGGCCGAGGACCGCCGCCTAGTGCACGAACTACTTGCAGCGGAAGGGTCTCGGCATCGAGGGACATCATGGGCACTTCCGTCGGATATGCAGGCTCGGCGCTGCCGACTGGGGGGTGCAAGAGCACTATCAGCTGTGCTCGCAGATCAAAGCGGCCACCTACCAGGACCTCCTGGACGGCGCGACTCTGATCAGCGTTGATCTGAAGTTCAGGAGGCTCCAGACTATAGAGTTTGCGCACTGGGACAAGGCAAGGGCCGCCGAGAGCAAGGGCGTCGGTGGCAAGACGGGTCTGGAGGAGCAGGCGGCTTTCTCGGGGTGTCCAGATCTACTTCCTCCGCGAACGCGTTCGCAGCGACGTCTAGAAGTGGGCCAAGTCGCGCGAGGGTCTGCGCCTGGCCCACGAGGGGCGGGCGTCCAGGTACAACGATGGTTGATATCGGCGCCCGCGCTGGCCTCGGAATGGGGGGGGGGGGGGGGGGGGGCGGTGGCGGCGCCCCTCCAACATGCTGGTCGTTGCGGCCCTGCCCGCGCTCAAGATGTCCACGAATTTGGCAGGCGTCGGCCCCGAGACATTCTTCCGCCCCCGCATCCGTTCGCTGCGGCGCCTTTGGACAAGGCTTCCACCAGGGGTCTCGCTAGAGGCGCGGGGGGGGGGGGGGCTGGGGCGCAGGGGGGCTGTCTGCGACGATGTGATCTGCGCGGTGGGCGCACTGAATTGGCTTCGCGATCCTTCTCTCAAGGGCGGTCGTGACCGACGTGCACGGCATGCGGGCCCGCCTCCCGCCCAAGGTATGCGCCGCGTCCACGTCGACGAGTCTGCGCGGTATCTCGGCCCTCCGCCCCCGTCTCTTTCCCCCGCGGGTGCGCGCGTGCAGCTTCGCGCTGCCGGGGGCGCCTGCGCTGTCGAGCAGTCGCCTCTCGGGAGCTGCGGCCCCGCGCCCCCTCCCTCTGCCGGGCGCCAGTTCCGCGCCCGCGCCGCTGGCGGGCGCGCGGGGGGGGGGGGGGGCGGGCGAACCGCGGTCGAGCAGCGTGCGTGATCCGAGCGAGGCCGCTGCGCGACTGCGGCGTTGCTCCGCGTTTTACTCCGACCCGCTTTTGCGACGCCAGCGGCGCTGGTCAAATTTTGCATAGCTTCTGTATGGGCGGCGCCTGGTTGACTTCCACTAGGAGGATGGCGTCAGGGCCTAGTTTTTTTTTCTGCCGAGAAGAAGGGCGGCCGCCTCCGCGTGGCGGCGGAATGTCGCCGTTCCAACGAGGTGTTCACCAAGCCCATCGGAGTTCGTCTGGCGACGGGCGACGCCTTCGGCGCGCTGGAGATGGCCGACGGCGATGATCTGCTCACCGTGGAGGGCGCTGACCTGAAGGGTGCCTTCTACCACTTGGAGTTGCCTGTGCAGCTCCGCTCGCACTTCACCTTCAGGCCCGTGCGCGCGGGCGCCCTGGGCGTGACCCACCTGGGGGACAGCGGCGCGAAGGCTTCCACCGAGCTCTTCCCGCGGCTCAGGGCAACGCCGATGGGCTGGTCCTGGGCCGCCCGGCGGCGCCAGTCCGCGACGGGGCGGGCGGCCGAGGCGGCGGGCTGCGACGACGCCTCTCGACTGCGCGATGGCCGCCCGCCGCCCGCTCTGAGCCCCGCTTGCCTCCTGGAATACGTCGACCATTTCGTCGGCATTGGCGATGGCGCCGTGGCCGCGCGGGGGGGCCGTTGCCCAAGTGATGGCGGAGCTCGAGCGGCGCGACCCGGTCGTGACCCACGAGGGCCACGTTGGCGACAACGCGTTGGCGACAACGCGTGCGAGTACTTTGTCTTCGGCTGGTCGCTCACGTCCACGGGTCGCCTCTCGGCTTCGGCTTCGAGATTGTGGCGGGTGCGAATCGCTGTTCGCGGTGTACTTCGGCGCGGGCGCGCTAGGTGGGCGGGGCCTTGGGCGGGTGCTGGGCCACGTCATCTTCGTCGCCCTCGCGCGTAGGGAGGTGCTCAGCACCCATGAGTCGCGCTCCGGCCTTGTCCAGAAGTGCTACCACGAGGAAGCGCCTCTGTGGTCTCAGGTCAGGCAGGGGCCCATGGTCTGGGATGGCGTCGCCCCGTTACTCTGGCGCGTTCTCCATGCCCAGTGGCCCCCGACCGTCGGCTGCGTGGGCGCCCCTCTTGGGGGTTGGGCGCCTGCGCGGCTGACTGGGGCGTGGGCGCTGTTCGGGAGGTCGGCCGCCATGCGCCATAGTGGGGGGTGGCGCTGCGGCAGGGCTGGGCGATTGCCTCCTCGTCGCCGTGCTCGCGCCGCCGAGTGCCTAGCCGACGGCGCCGCAGCCTGGGGCCCTGGGATCGCCGCGGACTTGTGCGACCCCGCCTGCCTGTCAGGCGACCGCCAGCCCGTCGGCCCGCCCGTGGAGCGGGATTCGTGTGTTTTCTCTGAAGTGCCGAAGAACTGCTTGGAAAACACCCAGTGGAGCATCGCGGGTCGGCGGATGTGGGGCGTCTCGAAGGGGCGCCTGTTCTGGGGGCTCGCGTTGTTTATGCCACCTTCGTCATGCCCTTCGAGCCGGTCTGAACCATGGGGGGAGATAGGTCGCCTCGGGGGACTCTTGCGTCGGTCTCGGCGGCCTTCAGGGTGCGAGCCCACTCCCGCGCCATGCTGGGCATGATGCGTCGCATTGGGGCTCGCTCTCTTGCTGTGGGGAGTTCTTTCTGTATGAGGTGGGTCCCGTCCGAGTGCAACGTGGCAGACG